TGTACAGTATGAGCCAATCAGTGGCAGTAATGACAGAGCATGCACTGTTACGCAAAAACCGTGATAGAGTGAAGCCGCGGAAGTCGAAGCGCGAAGTGGCGAGGGTTCACTGTATACAGCCTGGTACAGGTGCACCTTCAGGACAAGGACTTCAGTGGAAGGAAGTGCTACACAAAGGAAGCCTGCGTCTCCATGACCTGGGGGAGCTTCATTGAAGAAGTCACTTTACCTCTCTAAGACAACCTCCTCCCTCTTAAATTCAGACCTCCTTCTCAACAGAATCGTTAGGAAAATTAGATAAAGTGTGTAAAAGTGGTCAGCACTAAGCTGGAAGGTTGAATATAGTTGAAGCTAAACAAGTGCATGATTAAAATTATGAGCAGTATTGGGTCACCATTTTATCACATACTGTGGTTAACACCAGCCACACAAAGCTGGATAAGACACGGGTCCTTCCTTTAAGTGTTGAGTAAAGCAGAAATGTAAGTCAGTACCTTCATTTAAGAATTACTGGTGCCGTTACAGGCCAACCAGGTGGGCTTTCAGCCCACCCAGATGCAGCTCAGAAGAAAGGCCGTTTGTCTCCTTCTGAGAAACCATTCAAAACCCCAAAGTTGTGTTCTGGCCCACGTGGGGTCACCGCGAGTCCCGGAAGCCAGCCTGGCTTTTGTTTTTAGTACCATGTGCGTAAATACTGTAGTGGTTAAAGACGAATCACCTGCCGAGCTGCAGAATTAAAACATATTCTGGAGCAGTGGAAATGCTTCTATGGAAGCATGACGTTTCACAAGCAGGGCCAGCAGCATCTGCAGGTGAATTACACACGGAAGCTAAGACTGCCTGGGATGACTAGATTCTCGCTTGAGCAATTGGGTTAACAAGGCAGGATGCCTCACGGAGGCGGAGATCAAAGAACCAGTGGGGCGGGGCGAAAGGACAGATTCCCTGTGTCCTGGCTTACTTTAAGGTTTCCAAGTGGAGCTGCCAAGTAGGCAATCGAATAAAAAATCGGCCGGGAAGCTCGGCAAAGAGGGCAGAACCAGAGAAAGATCACAAGGAATGAGAAAAGAGGCCCAGACACGAGAGCGAGCACCCCAGCGTGCCGGAGCCTTCCTTCCGGCTGACCAGCAGCGTCCAGCGAGGTCGCGGTCAAGCCTGGAGGGATGGCAACCGGTAACGAATAAGACCGCAACACGGTCACAGGCGCCGAGAGTTAGACGGAAGGGCCCTGGAAATGAGTCTTTCGACTCTCCTTCCACTGCCGAGTCAACAGCGCTAAGGTCAAGTGGCGAGCATTCCCTTAAGTCCCCAACCACCCGGAAGAGCCACAGCGCACTACCGGGTGGTCCCGGAACCCAACGGCCGGGTAGCAGTTAGAGCGGAGGTTATCGCCCCGCCCCGCCCCGCCCCGCATCCAACTCGATCAGGCCTCCCAATCGAGTGTAGAGATCATCGCTCTATCCAGGCCGTGGTGTAGAGATCAGCTACAATTGAGGACCGGAGCCGTACGATGGCGGAGAAGACTCAAAAGAGGTGGGTTTTAATGCTTGCGACCAGCCTCTCCTCAGCTCTCCGCAAGAGCGCCATCTGTTCCTGGTGACTCTTGGTGGACACTCAGATGGTGTCTCGTTCCGGGCGTTCGGTTTGATGGGATCGAAAGCCCAGGGCTGAGGTGCTCTCAGGGAGAGGAAAACAGGGTGAGGGCGGCGGGGATGCGGAATCGGAGCCTCCGCGTCCACTGGTCTCGCCCCTTCCCGCCCCACACCCGCCACGCGCCTGCGCGAGGAGCGTGTCCGCGGGCGGGAGGGGAGAAGACCTGGTCGCCTTCCCGGGACTGCGGACTGCTGCGGGTCCGAGACCCCAGGTCCGTGCTGCCCCGCTGCCCCGGCCTCAGCGAGGTCTCGCGGCACTGGAACGGTTTCAGTGTCCCCGCCGTGGGCGTGCTCTTTTGTAAAACCGAGGACACGAATTGAAGCTGCCTTTCCTGCTGTCTCCGTGGCGAGCTATCTGTGGAAGTGAACGGCTGGCGAGAGAGAAATGCCTCTCAAAACAGTAAAACGAGGATCACAAACAATGCGGATGGCCCTCTACTGACTTCTTTGGGGGAAAACATGGTTTCTGTTGGCGTGAACTAAAAATAGCAAAGAGCAAATTGGAGTCTGTTAAAATTAAGAGAAAGAGTCAGGGGGAGGAGGGTGCGGGGAGGGAAGGGGAAAACCGAAGAACGGATACCCAGAGCTGAAGTGGAAAGCAAAGGTTTTGAGAATGATGAGGGAAACAAATGTACAGGAGTGGTTGCCACCATGGATGTAAGTGTGGATTGTGATAAGAGTTGTTCGAGCCCCCAATAAAATGATTTTAAGAATTTCTAAAAAGAGTCACAGTAATAAAAACTATTTGAATCCGGGAAAATGCAATCCATGAAATGAGCCGCACTGCCCTCCCGGGAGTTCCGCGGCCGAGCGACCCTGAAAACCCCACTTTCTTCTAGAGGGGCTAGTGCGTTCAAATGGCTGGCTTTGTGGACAGCAAATTCAAGGGGAAATTCTGACTGGTTAACTTACCAACTCACACTGTAGAGTCGCAGCCAGGCTGTGTGCCGTGGAAAGAAATCCGGCCCAGTCCTGAGCCCTCCTCACCGTCCTTGCGATGTTTGAGCCATTCTTGCAGCCACTGGGTCAATCCAGGTTCTCCTTTACCAAGCTTGATGCCCCCCTTTCTGATAATGGGTCAAAAGTATGAGACCATGTTTCGATATCCTTCCAAGGAGCATTCTGACTGTAGTTCCTCCAAGACAGATTTACAATGTGAAAATTACATAAATGCATTTTCTATCCCTCATTGGACTGCTGCAAGCTCAGTGGTTCAAACCCACCAGCCGCTTCTTGGAGAAAGATGAGTCTGCTCCCGTCAAGATTTACAGGCTTAAAAATTCTATACAGAGTCGCTGGCAGTGGGTTTACACAAAATTATTGTATTTCTGTTTGATGGCAATAAAATACTAGAAATCAAAATCATAAAAATGTAAACAATTACAAAGAAAAATATCTTAAGATGGTATGGTCATGTCATAGAAGCCAAAAGTGAATATAACACCATGAATATACTTATCATTGTTACTTTGTTATTCTTTACTTAGAACAAGTTATCTAATGACTATTCATTTTTCTTTTTTTTTTTAAATCATTTTAATGGGGGCTCGTACAACTCTTCTCACAATCCATACATCCATCCATCGTGTCAAGCACATTTGTACACTTGTTGCTATCATCATTCTCAAAACATTTACTTTTCTACTTGAGCCCTTGGTATCAGCTCCTCTTTTTTCCCCTCCCCTCCCATGAACCCTTGATAATTTATAAATTATTATTATTTTGTTGTATCTTATACTGTCCGACATCTCTCTTCACCCACTTTTCTGTTGTCTGTCCCCCAGGGAAGGGGGGGTATATGTAAATCCTAATCAGTTCCCGCTTTCTATACCCTCTTTCCTCCACACTCTCGGTTTCACCACTCTCAGCACTGGTCCTGAAGGGTTCGTCTGTCCTGGATTCCCTGAATTTCCAGCTTTTGTCAGTACCAGTGTCTAGCCGGATTTCCAGCTTTTATCAGTACCTCTGGTCTAGCTGGATTTGTAAGGTAGAATTGGGATCAAGATAGTGGGGGGGCGGGGGGAGGAGGCACTTAGGAGTTAGAGGAAAGCTGTATGTTTCCTTGTTGCTACATTGCACCCTGACTGGCTCCTCTCCTCCCTGAGACCCTTCTGTAAGGAGATGTCCAGTTGCCTACAGATGGGCTTTGGGTCCCCACTCTGCACTCCCCCTCATTCACAATGATAAGATTTTTGTTCTTTTATGCCAGCTACCTGCTCCCTTTAAGACCTCGTGATCACACAGGCTGGTGTGCTTCTTCCATGTGGGCTTTGTTGCTTCTGAGCTAGATGGCTGCTTGTTTACTTTCAAGCCTTTAAGACCCCAGACGGTATTTCTTTTGATAGCCAAGTACCATCAGCTTTCTTCACCACATTTGCTTTTGCATACATTTGTCTTCAGCGATCATGTTGGGAAGGTAAGCATCATAGAATGCCAGTTTAATAGAACAAAGTGTTCATTGAGGGAGTACTTGAGTGGAGGTCCAATGTCCATCTGCTACCTTAATACTAAACCTATAAATATATGTACATAGATCTTTCTCCCCATCATCACATATAAATATATTTACATATGTACATGTCTGTATTTAGACCTCTATAAATGCCCTTTGCCTCCTAGTTCTTTCCTCTATTTCCTTATACTTTCCTCTTGTCCCACTATCATGCTCAGTCTTCATTTGGGTTTCAGGAATTCCTCTCGGTTACATTGCCCTTGATCAAGCCCTACCAGGCCTCTTACACCCTCCTTGCCACTGATTTTGGATCACTTGTTCCCTTGTCCTGGGTTTGTTAGCACCACTTCCTTTCCCCTACCTCCTCTCCCATGTCCCCCCTGGAACCATCAGTCCCGTTGTTTTCTCCTCCAGATTGTTTATCCAGCCTACCTCATCTAGATAGACCTGCAGAGATAATAATGGGCACACAAACAAGACAGAGCAAACAAAGCAACAAAAGGAAAAAAAAGAAAAGAAAAGCCTGTAAATAGTTCAAGATCTGTTTGTTGAGCTTTAGGAGTGTTTTCCCGTCAAATCTGTTGGGGCACCAAGCCCTGGCCCAAAAGTCTATTTTTGATACTCCCTCGGGACTTCCTTGCTCTGCTCCCCATACTGTTTGTTGCATACCCTTAGTGTTTTGCCTCATTGTTGTGGTGTCAGATTGGATGCAATTCCCATACTGTGTCTCAAGTATTGTCCCCTGTGGGGCTATGGGTCAGTGAGGGATGCCATGTCTTGTAGTGGGGCCTGCCATATGAGCCTCTCTTTGCATTGGCTGCTCTGAGCAGGGATATCGTCCTCAAGGCTTGGTGGGCCAGAGTGTGCGCCACTCTCTTCCTCCCCCTTCATTTGCTTCCATGTGCTCTGAGCAGACATGTCCCGCTCCCTGAACTGTAGCTTCAGTGCTGTCCTCTGAAGTAAATTCTTTTGGGGGAGGGGTGGCTTTCCTCGTAGTTGGGATTGGACTATTCATTTTTTATACTTGTTTTTCCTTGAGTTAGACCACAAACTTGCCTTCAAGGAGATGGCTGTCTACTTTGTGGGGAAACCACTTAATTCAGTTCCTCATATAAGCTCGTCCGTCAGCTAAGGGCAGCATTTATCTAGACCAGCTTTTCTCAACCTGTGGGTCGATCGACCCTTTCACAAGGTCGCCCAATTCATAACAGTAGCAAAATTACTGTTATGAAGTAGCAACAAAAATAACTCTATGGTTGGGGGTCACCACAACGTGAGGAACTTTATTAAAGGGTCACAGCATTAGGAAGGTTGAGAACCACTAATCTAGACCAGTGTTTCCCAAAATGGGGGCTACTACCCCTTGGAGGCCCTGAAACTATCCAGGGGGTGCTGCCAAAGCAGATAGTCTACACTTTATCCTGCATTATGGGCTCTAGTACAAACGTTTTTAATTGTCGGGGAGGTACCTAGTGATTTTTCTTCTGAAAAGGGGGCAATAGGCCAAATAAGTTTAGGATCCAATGATCTAGACAGCTCTGATAAAAGACCACAGCAGAATGTCAAAAATCATCAACAAGTGATCTAAAAATGTTAGTCTTTTGAACAATGTACACTATAATTTACAGTACTTGGTGAGCAGTCTGACATATTGACTATAGTTAAAGAACATTCGACTTTTGACAGTCTTATTGAGTCAGAATTGACTCGATGGCAATGAGTTTGGGTTTATATTCATTTCTAAATTAGTATTACCTTGTTGCTACATACCTTTAATATGCTGTATATTCTTTTCCCTTTACAAAGATGGTGACCTTGTATATACTGCTTGTTTTCTGTGCCTTGCTGTTTTTAATTTAACAGTATAACTTGGACATCATGCTAAGATTTTTCCACAAAGGGATTTTTTTCTTGGCCTGGCTGTTTATCAGTCTGCTGTTTGCCGGAGTCAGTTCCCTTGGCGGCCACCCCATGGGTGTCCGAGCAGGACTGTGCTCCCTAGTGCTCTCCGCGGCTGAGCTTGGGAAGCCGAGTGACAGGCGTTTCTTCCAAAGTGCCTCTTCTGAGTGGATGCGAACCGCCAACCTTTGGTTCGCAGTTGAGTGCGTTACCCGTCATAAATGTTACCTTTTCCTTCCTACAGTGTGAAGATTGCTCCTGGAGCAGTAGTGTGTGTAGAAAGTGAAATCAGAGGAGATGTAACCATAGGTAAGAAAACAGTTTCTTAATATCCCATCTTAAGAATTGATGTAACTTATTTCAGTCTTTACAATGGGATAATGTGTGTTTATTCCATTGATGTCCTCATTTTACTGAGTAAACAATGTATTTTCTCCCTGCCTGGTTAACTTTTCTCAAAGACCGTATCACGATGGGGTCTGTAGTCTAGCTCCTAGCTGATAAACCAATGAAGCCCTATAGCAAAGCCATTCCTCCTTTTTCAAGCGGTGCTGTTGTCTCCCTGCTACGGCCCGGCACTAGGGATGCAGCAGTGAGCACAGCAGATGCATCTCTTGCCTTTGAGGAGCGTTCCTCCTACCGGAACCATTCAGAGTGTGGCTGGAGCCTGGCAACCCTGAGTTAGGATCTTTGTTTTTTTCCTGCTGGGTTACTTGGGACTAGTAGTTAAGCTCCCTAACCTTCATTTTTTCTGTGTGTAATTGTGTACTTCAAGATGAGTTTCAGCTGCACGCAGTCATGGCTTAGTCCCATGGCGGTTTATTCTCTTCTATAAAAGTAAGCACCTCAGAGCTGGCTGGTCAGTTGATTGGTCAGCGTGACTCCTGAATCACCAGCCTTGCAGGCCAGGGGGTGATGGTTAGAGCACCAAGAGTGATCTTAGATAGGAAAGGGAGACAGAAAGGTGTCCCTCCAGGTTAAGCTTTAAATAGCCTTCCCGAAAGTCTGTGTGTTATGGCTGGGCCTTCGTCTCATGGACACATCTAGCTGGGCACATTGCAGCCCTGCCAACATCAGAGTTCTCGTACCAGGAGAAAGCAGAGAACAGATAAAACCAAAACCCTCCACCATCGAGTCAATTCCACCTCACAGTGATCCTGCAGTTAACAACCTTCCTAACGCCGCGACCCTCTCCTATAGTTCCTCATGTTGTGGTGACCCCCCAACCATAACATTATCCTCGTCGCTACTTTATAACTGTAATTTTGCTACTGTTATGAATCAGGCGACCCCTGTGAAAGGGTCATTCAACCCCGAAACGGGTCACGACCCACAGGTTGAGAACTGCTGCTCTATAGGGTTTCTGAGACTGTAGCTCTTTACTGGAGCAGGCAGCCTCATCTTTCTCCCATGGAGCAGGTGGGGAGTTTGAATAAGAGACCTTGTTTGAACTGCCAACCTTGTGGTCAGTACCCCAGCGCTTATTCCAGTGTGTTATTAGGTTATCCAGTGGTAATTAGCTGTTTCTGTCACACGAAAAATAGGAGTAGCTTCCTCCTACATTTGTTGGAGGATTGAAAAAGACAGTGTTTGTGAACGTCATTGCCCGGTACCTAGTGTACAGTAAGCACTCAATAATTATGTTAGAAGGAGCCCTTGTGGCGTAGTGGGTTACACATTGGGCTGCTACATGCAAAGTCAGCCGTTTGAACCCACCAGGTCCTCGGCAGGAGCTAGATGGGGCTTCCTACTCTCCTAAAGCTTCACAAGCCATGGAAACCCACAGGGTGGCTAGGTGTTGGGATGGGCTCAGTGGCAGGGAGTTGTTATAAGCACATTAAATCAAATCGTATTGTTGCCTTGCTAGAGGTCAAGTCCAGCATTTAGATCGAATAAATAGTTCAACCTATGTTTATACTGAAATGAACACGAATAAGTTCCCTAAGCTCACGTTCTGTTCACTTCGTCTCTGGGTTTGCACTGGGTTTGGAGCCCTTGCTGCTCTATCAGTTGAACCTGTCCCTACCAGCAGCCACATGTCGCCTGCACGCCACCAGAGTACGTACACTTCCAGAGAGGAAGCCATGCTGTTCCCTAAACTTCATTTCTTTAATAGAATAAACAACTGTAATGTAATACCCCCAAACCCCTGGAAGTCTGCGCCTTCAGCCATTTTAGGCATTGTGTTAATACGGGTAGACTCGAGAAACAGATCCATAGAAACTCATGTGTATAAGAGAGAGTTTTATATAAAAGGTAATTGTATATTAAGAAAACATCCCAGCCCACTCAAGATCAAGTCCATAAGTCCAATATTAGCCCATATGTCTGAGATACCAATCTATAAAGTCCTCTTCAGATTCACGAAACACATGCAATGACACCAAATGCAGGAGATCACAGGCCAGTGGGTAGAGTCTTTGGATCCAATGGCGTTGTAAGCATCTCAGCACTGGCAGGGGTCTCTACGTGGCTTCTCCAGCACCCAGGGCTGCATCAGGGTTAGTTTATATGGCTTCTCCTCAGGGACGTCTCTCGCAGGGAGTCAGCCTTGTCAGTAGAGAGCCTCCAAGGGAGTGAGCAGAGAGAAATGTGCCTCCCACCTTCAAGGAAGAAATACAGCAGTTCCCAGAATTCTCAGGAGAAGCCTATGCCCCACACAGAGGCCTCATTGGTTATATCTTGATTGGCAGGCCAGACTTCACCCCTTCACTCATAATCCTCTCAGATTGACACCAGATTATGTAGCTACCACAGTCGTCATGTCTCATAAAACCAGCGAATATTGTGCCGATATTATGGAACATCGTTAGTAACTTTCTAGGTTGGATTTCTTTATTTCACATGGACAAGATTCAAAGTTCAGAAAATAATCCTGTTTCTTTTCAGTGCTATGTTACCTCTTTGTTTTTGTCATTACTTAAGGTATTATACATGCAAATGTTTTATGAGGAGAAATGACGGCCATGTGTTTATCAAAATGTTCCTCTATTGTTCTCACTCTGATATTCATGGTTAAGATTTCATCATGATATAACTGACTAATAGCACACAGGCTTTTAATTAGAAGGAAAGTAAGATTAAAATCATGTAATTAATTATCTGCATTTTCCCTTGCTTTTATATTACTTTCCCATATTAAAGTACCGTTTTTAAAAATAAGCATGCTTCTATATAATAGAGAGCAAAGATGTTATAGATATATCGACGTAACACGCACGTATTTTGAAATAAACTCAAGTTACCTAGAGAAGCTTTGTAGACACTCGGGAAACAAAGGATTGGTTGGCTCCTGTTTAGGATTGGGGTGTTCTTCCTTTCAAAACTCTGTGCCTCTACTTCCTTATCCCTAATCCCTCTTGCCTTCCCTAATACAGAAGTGACATGAAGAAATTTAGGGTTGAATCTGCTTTCTGTTTACTGTTTTGATTACTATCTGATTGTCCACGAGGCAGTTCTGCTCTACTGTACGGCGCCACTATAAATCGGAATCGATTTGCATGGCAGGGAGGGAGGGTGTGATGAGTAGTATGTAGTCACAAAACCAAACTCACAGCCATTGAGATGATGCTGACTCACAGGACCTGTGGGACAGGGTAGAACGACCCCTGTGGCTTTCCAAGACCACAACTCCTTATTGGAATCGCTGCTTATGGGAAAACGCCTTATGGGAATAGCTGCTGGTGGTTTCAAACTGCGAACCTCGTGGGTTATCAGGCGAATTTGAAACCCACTGTGTCACCAGGGCTCATATAATAGGTAGTAGTAGTTGTTAATTATAATTTGGGTAGGTAAGGATTTGTAGTATTTTGACTTTTTAATTAGACTGCCTTGGTTCTTGGGCCATGCATTTGTTTTCTATAGATCTGTATTTTGAAAGCTGCAGAAACATTTCAGGAAGGCCTGTCGTCTGTCCCCTTCTGCATAAGGTGAAAGGCCGACTCTGCACTAGGACAGGGCTAGGAAGAGACCTCATGTTAAAGGGCAGAGCTGGGCACCGTGAAAAAGCCATTTTCAGCTCCCCACTACAGATTTTAATACAGATAAGGAGCCACCCTTGTCTTTTCTAAACCTTTTTCGGTAAAGCAAATTTTGGCTTGAGAAAGGTCTTTCCATATAGAGCAGCTCTTAGAGGTACTTAAGTTTACTGGTCATGGGAATTTTTTAAATTTCAGAGAGAGAGCTTGTGGCTCTTGGAATGACTTATTGATGATGAAAATGCACATGAAGAGTGTGTTTGGTGACAAAGGTAGACAGGCAAAGTGCCTTTTACCAAATGAGGGAAATGGAAACTTGGTTCGAGGCATGCCTTTCTGACTAGGTGGCACCAAGGCAAGCCACCGTCAGCCGGGAAGGCAGCTCCAACTCCAGACACATTTACCCAAACAAGGAGATGAGCCAAATAGGGTCCAGGACAATTGGTAAGAAAATATACAAACTACCCTGCCAGAAAGAGCTCCAAGAAAGTTCACAACGGTTTCTGTTGTTGTTGCTTTAACTTTCCATGGTGATAGATTTTTATTTTTAAAGCATTTTAACCTCAAGACGTGGTTCACATTCAAGACCCAATCAAGGTAAAAATACATATTGCCTGCAGAAAAGTTGGGAACAAGCCATGGCCTTGTGTCACCGTCACTGCCTGGAGCAGTGACGGAATTGCCGGGCTCTCGCCTGCCTCGGCTGCAGAGAGCCGTGGCGGAGACAAAGCTCGGTGGCACAGATCACACACCTGCTTCTGCACATGCCGTTCAGAAGTTTCCCCAGCCTCCGTCAGAGCCGCCCCAGATCCTGAAGTCCAGGTGCTCCCTGTACACTCACTCGTCTTCACTTTCACAAATGACCTACTGTAGGTCCAGTTTTTCTAAGCCAGGGAAATCCAAAGAGGAATTCACCTTTCTGGAAAAAAGGTGAAAAGCAGAACTATCATTCAGCAATTGCTTTGCGAGGGTGAGTGCACCCGCCAGAGCGGCCCCCGGCTCCAAGCAGCTTCCCTAGGGGCTCCGAGCGGCCTAACACGTACCAATAAGCACACACAAAAAATTAGAAAGGCACAGCTCCGAAATGTGTCTGCAAACGTTGTATGTTAGTGTTACTTTACATTTTTTGTTACTTGCTATAATTTGGTAGGTTTTTAGGGGGTCTGAGAATAATCAAAATCTTTTCATATAAATGATTGGTAATGAATTCTTTTCCACTTTATGCCATGGGAACACTTGTACTTTTGGATAGCAGGGGAAACCTGTGCATGCATGCTAACTTTTCTCGCCTGTGCCCCAGGAAGAGACCACGAGACACTTGCCTGTGACGTGCGCCACAACTTCACAATGTTAACTTTCTGAGTCATTTTGTCCTCGAGAAACACGGTAGTTTAGCAATGCTACCACCAGGTGGGGATGGTGTCTTAATCACACATCTCAACTAAGCTGCTGATCTGCCTCAGAATGATCACCAACAGCTTTCCAGCATTTTATTGAATAAATTAGTAATGATAGAGGTCCCTGGATAACACACAGAGTTTGCGCTCAACTACTGATCTAAAGGTTATTGGTGAAATCTACCCACTGGCCCCATTGAAGAGAGCCTGGCAATCTGTTTCTGTAAATATTACAACCAAGAAAACCCTAAGCAGCAACACTGCTCTTTAACACATGGGGTTGCCAGGAGTCAGAATGAACCCTGCAGCCACAGACTGATGGTACGACATAATCAGTATAGAGTAAGTAATCAAGCACAAGGCTAAAACAGAACAGAAATTATTTTTAAATATTTTGTCAGAGAACATGAGGTAGGCTTATGACAAAGAAATTAACCAAGTAAAGGGTTAAGATTAGAGTCCGTGTGTTCTGCCTCCCATCTGCCCACATGTTCTCCTCATCTCTTTAAAAAGACTGATATTTGGGATATGGCATACGATAGCACCATATTATATGCAAAGAGTTTTACCTTTACGAAGAAAGGGAAGGGAAGTGTTATTGTTAACTATGTGCCAGATAGCGTGTCTATATACATTTTATCATCAGTATTGATAACCTTGCAAGGCAGGCATCAGCACTTCTGTTTCACAGCTCAGATAACAAAGGCTTCAGAATAGAGATGAGCCAGGAGTTTCTGGTCCTAAGCCTCTGCTCTGGCCACTTTCTTTCCCTTGGTTTAAGATCTGGCACTCGGCAGTCCTGGTGGCACAGTGGTTACGTGTGTTTGGCTGCTAACTGCATGGTCAGCAATTCAAAACCACCAGCCTCTACAAGGGAGAAAGACAGGGTTCTTTACACTCGTAAAGATTTATGGTTTCGGAAACCCATAGGGGCAGTTCTCCCCTGTTGGGTCACAGTGAGTCAGAAATGGCTTGGTGGCCGCGAGTTGGGTTTGGTTTGGTTTGGTGACTAATGGTAACAGCCAAAGAGATAATGTGTGAAAGTACCTAGCATGGTGCCTGGCACATTCTAGGCAGCATCAGAAAGTTCATGGAAAAGTTCCATTATCTTTTAATTCCATTTTTTCCAAGAACTTTTTGAAGCCTTAGATTAGTAGTTGAGCGCAAAGTATGTGTGTTATCCAGGGACCTCTATCATTACTAATAAGTCATAATTAGAAATTATTCTTCCTGATAGCCTGACCCATCCACCCACATTCACCTCTCATTCTACTACTGGAAACATAACCTTTACCAATCATTTCTTTTCATGATATTTTTACCCAGGACCCAGGACAGTGATCCACCCGAAAGCACGAATTATTGCAGAAGCCGGGCCCATAGTGATTGGTGAGGGGAACCTAATTGAAGAACAGGCCCTCATCATAAATGCGTGAGTAAGACTGCGCAGCTTGCTGAACTAAGAACCACAGACAAGCATCTTGTTCATTTCAGCTGCTGTGTCGTTTACCACCGTCTCTGGAAGGCCCACTATTTTAGTGTCCCAGCAACATTCGGGATCTTTTTCAGAATGAGTAATTAATTATTAAAGAAACTAAAACTAGAACTGGCAAAGAGACTCGTCTAAGTTGAGCTGGCTTGTTGATAACCATCTAGATAAGTTCTCCATCTTTCCCTTCCATTCCATCACTGTGTCCACCCAGTAATCACACACTTACCAACTACCCCTTGTCCAAGTGCTGTGCTGACCAGGCCGGAGAGGGTTTTTTGGTTGAGTTTCTTTGTTCGGTTGAAATGCCGTTACTTGTGCCCTGACCTGTGACCTGAATGCTAATGTATGCATAAGGCCTTCAAAAGGTGTATGGGAGATGGAATTAAAATATAATGGAATTGTTCCTAGAATAGTTTGAAAGTCCTTCATCTTTTCATGTGTGTGGCAATAGTAACACCTAGGATTATATTGTTTAAATTTGGGGTCCCAGAGGCAATTTTCAAACGTTAAAGATATATAGACAAAGTCTTAAACCAATTTAATGAAGTAGACTGTAATAACTAAGGATTTTATAAGCATTTATAAAGCACTGTAGCTAAAAATTTGGCAGCAAATTCCAGCTTACACCAACTTCTAAGCAACAATGTATGTAATTGTTAAGAAAGGCCCTGGAAAAATAATTCACTATGATAAAGAGTTTGATTTGTCTCTTCATGTTTATTTGGATTTAGGGAGTCTCTTAATATAAATCTAGCAGTTTCTTTTGAAAATATATTTAGTGTCTTTAGCATCAGCCAGTTTGTAAGAGGTATGTTCTGCAGAACCTCATTGATCAGGGATGAGGCACCGCTTCTAAATCGCTACCCAATTGCAATTGTTAGCTGCCATCAAGTTGATTGTGACCAATGGCCACCATGCGTGCAGAGCATAACTGCTCCATAGGGTTTCCAAGGCTGGGACCTTTGGGGAACAAATCACCAGGCTTACATTGTGAAGTGCCTCTGGGTGGGCTCAAACAATCAGCCCTCTGGCATTTCATCAAGTGCTTAACCATTTGTGCCACGCAGGGACACCTCAACTAAGAGAATAAAATAACCTTATGTAGAGGTCTGTTTAAATCCTTAAATTTTACGTCAGTATTAAGGGTAGAAACATTTAAAGTTGGGCATGATTTTGATTCCAATTTACTAGATTAAAAGCCATAGATAGTTGCTGCCTTTATCACAGTGTCCTGAAGGTTCTCTGGACTTAGAATCTAAAATACAAACAAAAGAAAGTTGCCCTGCACACTCCTTTGCATTCAGTAGCTCTTCTTAAACTCATAATCAGATCTTTTTCAGTCTAGAGAAGAAAAGACCCATGCAGATTCGGAAGTAAGTTACGTAGTTATATATTTGAAGTGTGATGTGGGTAACATTTATGAGAGAATTACCCAGACTCTGAGATGGGAAGGAACGAGTTACTGTATTAGTGACGTTCTGACAACTAGTCTTTTTTCTTACAGTCACCCTGATAATATCACCCCTGATGCTGGAGACGTTGAACCCAAACCTATGGTCATTGGAACCAACAATGTGTTTGAAGTTGGCTGTTGTATCCTTGATATTAATCTAAGATAAATCATTCCCGGCTGTCTGTGAATACCAACTGTCATCGTTTGATCTGTCAACTGTATATGCAGGTTTGCATCCCTCACAGCTGCCCTAGTGGTGTAGTGGGTCACACATTGAGCTGCGAACTGCAGTGTCAGCAGTTCCAATCCACCCCCTGTTCTGAGGCAGGAAGTGAGGCTTTCTGCTTCCATAAGGATTGACAGCTTCAGAAACCCACAGGGGCTGCTCTGCCCTGTCACTGTGAGTCAGAATGGACTCGGTGGCAGTGAGTTTGGTTTGAATGGTCTCTTGGTGCCCAGAATGTATTCTGTGAAATAGGCCATTGTGTGATTTGGGCATTGTGTGAGCACCATATGGAAGCCAGCTTCCTGTAGGCGCCTTCACTCTGCTGCCACCACTACAACTACTGGCTGAGGCTGGAGGGCAGGTGGCAGCAGCTGTAGCAAAGGAGATGGGAGGGGAGGGGGTCAGTGGGGCAAGAGTGGATTGCACTCAGCCCTGCCCACTGTTCCACCCACCTAAGTAGCAGGGAAACCAGCAGCACCCACTGCCACCGCTCACCCACGTACTGTATATAATCAAAATCTGCTTGGAGAGCTCTATCCTTTATCTCACAGGCCTGTATCCCACCCATAGTCCAGGCTACAAGAGTGAGTCTGAGGCCTTTTTACAGCATCAGGGGGAACTATAAAATATAAAAAGCAAGCAGCTTTCCCTTTTTAAACAAAAGCCTTAAGGACCACTGATGTGTGTGTGTTGCCTGTATCAACATTAAGCGACATATAACTGTATATATAAGCATAGATGAGGGGGCTTCAAAAAATTAATGGAGAAATAGAATGAAAAGATAATGGAATTTTTCCTTGAAATTTTCCCAAATGTATGCTGAGTAGCCGTAGACACGGGAATGAAATGATCATCACCGTAGTGTCTGCCCTGATTGCACACCCACGCACGGCTCTGTCGTTAGCCCCTGGTCGTTTTCAGGGGAGGGTAGTCTGTCGTCAACACAGGACAGGAGGGACTGGAATGAAAAGCTTTCGTTCTTTTCCCTCTCACAGTGCCACCAGCCTTTCGCTTACGAAAACAGCACAATCTTTTTATGGTATCATTAAAGCATTAGCTTATAGCAGAAAAGATTTTAAAAATCTATTCAATGATAGCAAAATATTTAAACAAATTAAGATACCACCATAAAATAAACCACTAAAATCATTGAGCAGTCATTAAAAATTATGATTAAGAACATTTTTAATGGATTAGGAAAAGGCTTGCAAATAAGTGAACTGAATAAAACAAGCTATAAAACTTTATATAGTTTGATTCCCAGTTATCTTTATGGATTTACGTGTGTGTGTATGTATATGTATAAAAACTCACAGCCATCAAGTAGATTTTGACTCATAGCAACCCTATAGGACAAGGTAGAACTGCCCCCATGTGTTTCTGAAACTGTAACAGTTTATGGGAATAACCTTCTCTTTCTCCCATATGTGTGTATAGGTATTAATATATTGTTATGTGATATTAGGTGCCATTGAATCATAGCAACCCTGTGTACTACATTCTGTGTTATCCTCACACGTGTTGCAATGTTTGAGCCCATTGTTGCAGCCGCTGTGTCAATCCACCTGTTGACGGTCTTCCTGCTTTTTGCTAACCCTCTGCTTTACCAAGCATCATGTCCTTCTTAGGGATTGGTCCCTCACAATAGTATAACCAACATAACCAATATATGTGAGAGGAAGTCTTGTCATCCTTCTAAGGATCATTCTGGATGCTGTCTTTTTCCAAGACAGATTTTCTTGGTTCTGCCAGTCCATGTTATATTCAAGATTATTCACCGATGCCATCAATCAAAGGCATCAATTCTTCAGTCTTCCGTATTCACTGTCCAGCTTCCACATGCATATGAAGTGATCGAAAATACCCTGGTGTAGTTCAGGTACCACTTAGTCTTCCAGAGGAAATCTTTGCTTGTTAGCACTCTAAGGGAGTCTTTTACAGCAGATTTGCCCAATATAGGACATCATTTGATTTCTTAACTGCTTCTTATGTGGATGCTGGTTATGGATTCAAATAAAATTAAATTCTTGACAATGTTAATAAGTACATGTGTTGTCTTAACTCTAAAATTTTATAAAATTGTAATTATACTATTTCTAATTAATTGGGGGATGCATAGTTTTAATTTTTTTTAAACAGTTGTCAAAATATGTCACTTACTAAAATTTCAATATCCAGTGTTTGTTTAAAAAAAAAACGCAAAAGCTTGGAGAAACTTTTATTTAAAAATAAAACTTTGCTTTCAGATTGCTTTGAGAAAAAAGTTATTGCTGGGGCAAGCTTACAAACCCCTTCCGATAGCCCATTCCCCCCCTCCCCCACAAAGCAATATATGATAAACTATATTATTGGGGTGGTCAGGGCGTAGGAGGGATGGACATATTTACAGTATTTACTTAACTCTGGCTTACAGATTCTCAAGCCATGAAAATGGGAGATAATAATGTCATTGAATCAAAAGGTAAGCTATGATCAGTTTTACAGTGAAAAGTAATTATACAAACTCCTTACTCAACAGTGTAGTTTGGTTTCAAAGACAGTGTCATTGGCGAAAATTGGCCTTGTACAGAAACGGACAATCACATCATTCTGTAGCAGCCAGATGACACCAGATTGCAGCATAACTTCCAAGTACATCATCAGTAGCTGGCAACCTACATGGAATCACGGCCCAGCCAAGTTGACATATAACTAACCATTGAAGCCAACGTTATTCGTGCCTTGCACCTCGGCATTTGCATACATCATTACTAATGTGCAAAATACTTGGATAGTACATTTTTTGTTATTGCCGTAAGTGTGATTTTTCCGCGACTGAGATAGTTGATGAGAGCGGAGTAAGTCTTTTCTTCATTCCCTCTGTGAGACCCTAGGACAACTGCACGTAATCTAAGGAAAGGTGTTAGTGTGGAGTGTCCTAGGGAAGGAGTGATTACAAGTGGATTAGCTGTGAGACTAATTCTTTGCCTGGTAAATTCTTATTCTGACAATGTGGTTAATGCATTAAGTGAGAAAAGATCAGCCATATAAATGTAAATCAGAAATAGGTTAAAACGTAAAGTTCCAAAGAAAATTTTTTTAAGATTTACACCAAATATTAGTGCCTCTGAGCATTGACTCATCGCCCTCCAGTCGGTCTCAGCGCATAGGGGGCGTGTAGCACAGCGCAGCGTAGAACTACCCCCAGGTTTCCGAGGCTGTGGCTCCACAAGGAGCAGAACGCTTTACCTTTTTCCCAGGAGTGGCTGGCTGGTGATTTCGAACTGCTGACCTTGAGGTGAGCAGCTCAATGCACAAGTCTGTGTGCTGTCCTGTGATAGTTTAGAAAGGAAGCTTGGTGGCGTGTGGGTTTCTCATAGGGCCGTTAACCACTGCGTCCGCATCTTGAGCCCGCCAGCCGCTCCAGGGAGAAAGCACGCTGCTCTGTGAGGGTCTGCAGCCTTTCCCACAGGCAGTCCCTCGGTCTTCCAAGGTCACGATGGGTCTGCATTGCCTCGTGGCAGGGGGTGTGTATGTACTTTCGTTACTACTGTACAGCATGAAAGGAAAATCCACGTCTGTGGTAGTTTGCATTTTTTTCTCTCCAGACGACTTTACCCTAGCCAGTCAGAAACCAATGTGAGCAACTTAACATAATGCCCAGGCTTTGTCCCACTAGGATCCAGATATTACCAATTATTGTTGATATTTCTTATTTACTGCATGTTTACTATATGTCAAACTTGTGTTCACCACCTGACATTATCATCTCTTTTTTTTTTTTTAGTTGATTCCAACTTGGACGGGCCATATAGGACAGGGTAGAACTGTCCCTTTAGGGTTCTTTTTTAAAAATCATTTTAATGGGGGCTCATACAACTCTTATCACAATCCATACATACATCAATTGTATAAAGCACATTTGTACATTCGCTACCCTCATCGTTCTCAAAACATTTGCTCTCCATGTAAGCCCCTGGCATCAGCTCCTCATTTTTCCGTCCCTCCCCCTCCCCCCTCCCTTGTGAACCCTTGATAATTTATAAAATATTATTTTTTCATATTTTATACTGTCCGAAGTCTCCCTTCACCCACTTTTCTGTTGTTCGTCCCCCAGGGAGGAGGATATATGTAGATCCTTGTAATCAGTTCCCCCTTTCCACCCCACCCTCCCTCCACCCTCCTATCATTATCATCTTATTTATTCCTTGCAGCAAACTGCAAAGTTGAATGAACTTTCCAGCTTATAAATAAACATGAGATCTGGGAATTTACAAGGATTGTCTGAGGTCACACACTAACTCTGATTTGAACCCATGTAATTAAAGCTTGTGCTAATTACCTCTGTACTATAAGATGCTAAACTGAAGTCTTTGTTTTGGGGTAGCCAGTTTGCATTTTTATACCTCAATCATGTTAGAAAAAGAGTAGTGTTCTAATCATTTTATTATATCTCTACTTTTACTGCAGCATATGTAGGCAGAAATGTCATCTTGACAAGTGGCTGCATCATTGGTGCCTGTTGCAGTCTGAACACCTTTGAAGTCATCCCTGAGAACACAGTGATCTACGGTGCCGACTGCCTCCGCCGGGTGCAGACTGAGCGGCCACAGGTATCCCACCCTCTCCTTAACTGCGCGTTTTCCTAAAATATCCCATAATTGGTAATGGGGACAAATAAGCCCAATGTTTTAAAAAGCAGATGATTCAAAATAAGGCATAAGGGAAACAGCCCTGGAGTTTGGAGTATATTTGCAGTGGAATGATTCTGTTTTTAATATGAAAATTAGAGGACAGTGCCAGATCATTAATGGGAAAAGAAAGTCCAAAGATGTATCTGGTCGTATGTTTTTGCACCGAAAATGCATCATTAAGCCTTACAAACTATATTTATTCACTCTTAAAACATCAGTATTCAACAAGGGAGAATGACCTTAGCAACTTTATATTGGACATACAACTTTGGTCCTTACTACTACCATAAATTGATAATAAACACAGTTTAAGCGTATACATTCCACACCACCTAGTGACAACATGACTGTAGAGGTGTGTGTGGGTATTTTCCTTTCATCAATGAGAAGTCATCCCCTCCTCATTGCCAACATCAAGGCAGAGTGGGTTACACATCCCGCTGTTAACTGCAAGGTTAGCGGTTCCCACTCATGAACTGCTCTGCTCTGCAGGATAAAGATTAGGCTGTTTACTCCTACAAACCCACAGGAGCAATTTTATTCTGTCTCTTATAGGGTCACTATGAGTCAGAATCACCTTGATAGCAGTGGGTTTGGTTTTGGAAAAGCCAAGATCACGGAGCCTTGGTGACACATTAGGCTGTTAACCAAAAGCTTGGCAGTTCAAACCCACCACACTGCAGGAGAAAGATGGGACAGTCTGCTTCCTTAAAGATTTACAGCCTCATTCTGAGATGCTCACCTTCCAACACAATCACTGAGGACAAAATGGGTGCATAAGTAAATGTGAAGAAAGCTGATGGTGCCCGGCTATCAAAAGATACAGCATCTGGGCTCTTAAAGATAAACAAACAGCTATCAAGCTGAGAAGCAACAAAGCCCGCATGGAAGAAGCACACCAGCCTATGTGATCACGAGGTGTCGAAGAGATCAGGTATCAGGCATCAAAGAGCAAAAAAATCATATCATTGTGAATGAGGGGGAGTGTGGAGTTCAGATCCAAAGCCCATCTGTAGACAATTGGATGTCCCCTTACAGAAGGGTCACAAGGAAAAGATGAGCCAGTCAGGGTGCAGTATAGCACCAATGAAAAACACAACTTTCCTCTAGTTCTTTAATGCTTCTTCTCTCCCCCCCACCCCAACTATCATGACCCTAATTCTACCTTACAAATTCGGCTACACCAGAGCATGTACACTGATACAGTTAAGAGCTGGAAACACAGGGAATCCAGGGCAGATAAACCCCTCAGGACCAATAATGAGAATAGAAATACCAGGAGGGGAAGGGGACGGTGGGGGTAAAAAGGGGGAACTGATCACAATGATCTATGTATAACCCCCTCCCAGGGAGATGGACAACAGAAAAGTAGATGAAGGGAGACATTGATCAGTGTAAGACATGAAAAAAACCAAATTATAAATTATCAAGAGTTCATGAGGAAGGGAGGGTGGGGGAGCGGAAATGAGCTGATGCCAAGGGCTCAAGTAGAAGGAAAATGTTTTGAGAATGATGATGGCAACATATGTACAAATGTGCTTGACACAATGAATGTATGTATGGATTGTGGTAAGAGCTGTGTGAGCCCCCAATAAAACGATTTAAATTTTTTAAAAAGATTCACAGCCTTAAAATATGCAGTAGAACTGTTCTAATGTGTGCTACAACATTGCTATGACTCGGAATCAACTCAACAGTTGTGAGTTTGATTTGACCAGGTTTAATGGCCAAGATAAGCTTGGAGAAGCATGCATATTTGGAATTTCATGTTAGCATAGGAGATGGGGGAGATGTAGAAGATATTCAGATTAAAGTTTGCTCTTCTCACAAGGATCTACATCTAACCCCTCCTTGGGGGACGGACAACAGAAAATTGGGTTAAGGGAGACGCCGGACAGTGTAAGACATGACAAAATCATGATAATTTATAAACTATCAAGGGTTTGTGAGGGAAGGGGGGTGGGGAGGGAGTGGATAAAATGAGCTGATACCAAGGGCTCAAGTAGAAAGCAAATGTTTTGAGACTGATGATGGCAACAAATGTACAAATGTGCTTGACACAATGGTTGGATGTATGGGTTGCAATAAAAGTTGTACGAGCCCCCAATAAAATGATTTAAAAAGGAAAAAAAAAAGTTTAATCTTTATTATTTAGCCTTATATATATATTAGATGCCCAGCTTAATATAGATATTAGATCTAATATATAATATGAGATGTTATATATAGTAGCTGTCCAGCCCAAGAGAAAATATTTTTAAAGACCTTTCCTCTAAAATCAGTCAGATTTATCAGAAATTAAAACTCTAGGTTTTTTTAGAATTTCAATTCTTTTATGGCTTACTCTTATGTGTAATATATGTTTTTTAATTTTGAACAATTAAATATATTCCTTTAGATGAAAAAGGAAATAAGGATGAATAAACTTAAAAATCATCTGATTTTTTTTTCACTGTCTTTTTGCATAAGTACAAAAATGATCGAAGTGGAAGAAATGAAGATAAAGTTATGGAAAGGAGTTTAGAATGAAATGAGCAAGAATATCTGAAGTTTTAGTGCATAATGTTAGTTAGCACTGTTTTCAAAATTTTATTGTTCATGAAAATCTTGTAGAGATTCTTATTAAAAATAAATATTCCTAAGGTTTATTGATTCATAGTGCCAAAGGAAAGTGTCTAAAAATCATATTTTTCCTAATTGAGTTATGGACTATTCTAATATCTGTAAGAGCTCCCAGTAAAATGATAAAAGTAAATAAAAATGATATTTTTCACAAGTACCCAGGTGAGCTTTGCAATCAAAGAAACTTGGTAGTGTATGATGAGCGACCATCAGCCATGTGTCTCCCGGCTCTGTGGTGGCGTAGGTAGTGTGGAAAGTGACACACTTTGTTTATTTTATTTATGTGGCAGGTATTTTAGAGTGAAACCTAGGAAAGCAACGTTGAAAGCTTGAAAACTGATTTATGTATAGCAATAAGAGAATAGATGACATACCATTTTTATATATACAAGCACGAGTTTTTCTTATTACCAAACTATTACGTATTATTATAATACAAATAAATGAAGCCATAGCACAAATAAGTCAATAAAAATCTGTTATAGAGCCATGACCTACAGAGGACCACTTCTACTGGTACTCTTCCGTTTGCTTTCTTCTAGTTAATTCTTAACCTTCTTATTCTTTCAGCCCCAGACACTACAGCTGGATTTCCTGATGAAAATCTTGCCAAACTACCACCATTTAAAGAAGACTACAAAAGGAAGCTCAACTCCAGTTAAGAACTAAAAACATGATGACATTTAGTCTTTGACCAGTCTTGTAAAGGGCCATAGTACACATGCAGTCTTAGCTCATAGTAATGCATGTAAGCTTTGTTTTATAAAATTGAGTTAGAAAAGAAAGTAATGTCTTTTCATTGTAACTCCCTTCTATAATTTATATAAAAAATTAATATAAAATGCATCATTTTCTTATTTACTTGCTCCTTTTCTGATAGTTTACATATTTTATGTATTCTCCTCTTGTTATATAAAATATTGGCCACAAGTTTTAGTTCTGAAAACACTAACCTGTGATAAGATAGGGCCTATTGTTATGTATTTATGTACTAACATTTATTCAACTGAATAAAAGTGCTGATGACAAGCCTTGTGAGCATTCTTTAATTAGTGTTTCTAGTTTGCATTAACATTCCCAAAATAACTGTCTTAATTTTTTATTATGTACTAGCCATAATAAACCTAATGCATTTATCTTCACCTCCTGTGGATTTGCAGTCTAAATATTCAGGTAAAATTTCAGCAGCTATCAAAGTAATATAGATTTCACTTTGTTTTCAAGAAAAATATTTTTTTTTAGTAAAACAAAAGTAATCGGGGAAAGATATTCAGTGCATTCCTTATTCAAAAGGAATGATGTCTGACCAACATGACAAGTAAGTGACCATTAATTGAATGATATTCCTGGGTTTCTGACAATTAAACTAAATGAGATTTCAATATCTTTGTAAAGTAATGAAATTATTTTGGTAAACTACTAATTGCTAATTATTAAACTTATAATTTTAAATTATATAGTAGACAAAATATTGATTTTACTGTTCTAAAGGTTTTGAATAACTCAATTACATACATTTAATGGAATGTACCTCACAACCTTTGAATAGGTAGGTATTATTAAGACAGTAAAATATTAATATACATTTTGAAATTTAAAGTTTTAATTGTGAATAGTATATGAGTAATTTTGAATTTCTGAAACTTACAGGGAAAATTTGGCTTCATTTTTCTGAACTTGAATGACTTGGTTTTGGTATAGTAGTTACACATGGGGCATTGTAACTACCACAGACAGCTCCTTGGGAGAAAGACTGGCCAATAAGAATCATCCACCCAACATAATTGCCACTTGAATGCAATCATGAGGTTAAGAAATTTCCAGATAAACAGAATTTAGAAGAATTTGTAAAAATGAGACCAAAGAGGATTTCTTTGGACATGGAAGCAAGAGAAGTAGACAACAACCTGAGATTAACCGACACAACAACACCCCAAGTCAGCCCCGGCATCACTTACTCACTGCCCTGGAGCTGATGCTTCCTCATAGCACAGGATGGAATTGGAATTGCCCCTGTGGGTCCTGAGACTAAATCTTTGTGGGAATAAATATGCTTCATCTTCCACGGGGCTGCTGGTGATTTTGAACTACTGACCTTGTGGTTAGCAGCCCAACTGTTATCTACTACACCACCCAGACTCCTAACCTCATCTAAATTTTAAAAAGAATCATAAATATCTAGTAAGCACTAAAACAACAATTTAGAAAATAACAGGAAAACCTACAAAGAAAATGAACTTGGCACAGAAATGATGTGTTATAACAAACAGCAGCAACACACGCACACACACATCCAAATGCTTGTCATTTGGAGAATGGATAAAAAATGTTTACACATACACAGAATGGAATATTAATCAATGTTGAAGAATGAACATGTATTTGTAAAATATCTCATAGCATGGATGAACCTGAAGGAAGTTGTGTTAAGTGAAATTAGTCAATCACCAGGAGGACAAATATTATATGAGACCATTATTAATAAAAAGTCAAGAAAAAGCCTTCACTCTAAAAGAACTAGTCTAGGATGGTTACCAAGGTTGTCTGTCAGTTTGTCACATTGTGATGGCTCGTGTGTTGCTGTGTCTCTGGAAGCTGTGTCCCTGGTATTTTAAATGCCAGCAGGATCCCCGAAAGTGAACTGGTCGGAGCTTCCACGTTCAGAACCGACTACAAAGCAGGAATAGACCTCTGAGGAATCAGCAGTTGAAAACCTTGTGAATAGCATGAGAACACTGTCCGACACTGAACACGTTATTAATAGAAATAGGACATTGTCAGGAGATGAGCCCCTCCGGCCAGAAGGCGCTCACAATGTGACTGAGAACTGCCTTTTCAGAGGAGAGTCAACTAGAATGATAGGAATGGAGTAAAGCCTTCAGGGCCTTAATTTGCAGCTGGAGAGTGACTCAAAAGGAGAAGAAACAGCTGCAGGCATTTAACAATCAGAACTTTATGAAGTATGAATCTAGGAAAATTGGAAGTTGTAAAAATTGAAGTAGAATGCATGAAAGCCTACATACTAGGCATTAATGAGCTGGCTGGCTTTGGCCTTTTTGGATCAGATTCCTGGTTTACTGTGCTGGATGAGAGCATCAAGAGGACTGGCGTCGAATTCATTATCAAAAAGGACATGTCTAAATCTATCTCCGAGTACAAGGCTCTCTGTGATAGGTTAATATCTATCTGCATTCAAGAAAACCCAGTCAATGCAGCTATTAAAATTTATGGACCAACCACTAAAGCTAATGATGCAGACATTGACGAATTCTACCAACATCTTCAGTCTGAAGTGGATCAAGCGTGCAATCAAGATAGATGGATAATTATTGGTGATTGGAATGCAATAGTTAAAAACCAAGAGGAAGGGACAGTAGTTGGAAAATATGGTCTTGGTGATAGAAACAAAGGTGAAGTTTGCATGATAGAATTTTGCAAATTCAATGACTTCTTCACAGCAAATACCCTTTGTTGACAGCACAAGATGATGCACTCACTCATCTATGCCAAGAAATTTGGAAGACAGCTGTCTGGCCAACTAGTGGACGAGATCCCTGTTTGTCCCCAGTCCAAGGAAAAGTGACCCGACAGAACGCTCAAATTAGAGAATAATAGCACATGCAAGTAGATTTTTGCTGAAAATCATCCAACAATGGTTGCCGCAGTACATAGGATAGGGAGCTGTCAGGTTCAGGCCTGATTCCGACGAGGACATAGAATAAGGGTAATCATTACTGATGGCTGATGGATCTTGGCTGAAAGCAGAGAATACTAGAAAGATGTTTACTTAGGTTTTATTCACTATGCCAAGGCATTTGACTGTGTAGATCATAACAAACTATGGATAACCTTGAAAAGAATGGGAATTCCAGGACACTTCATTGTACTCCTGTGGAATCTTTACATGAGTCCAGAGGCAGTTGTGCAAGCAGAACATGGAAATACTGCATGTTTTAACATCAGGAGAGGTGTGTGTCAAGAGTCACACCCGCTCACCAAAATCAATGCTTGTGTACTTTGGACATGTTGTCAAGAGAGACCACTCCCTGGAGGACACCCTGCTTGGTAAATTGGAGGGACACCGATAAAGACTGGTCTCTCCAGCTGTGCTGCGAAGAAAGGCCTGGCAATCTGCTTCCATGAAGATTAAAGCAAAGGAAATCCTATGGAACATTTCCAACTGTGTAACACACGGGGTCGCCATTGAGTCAGAATAGACTCAATGACAGCAGATTTGTGGGGTTCTTAAACCGGTGAAGGAGGCAGGATAGCCACCAGCCAACCAGGATTAGAAGATGCCACATGTTTCTTCTGACAGTGAGGGGAGTGCTTTCTTCCTGCACTGCTGCACGCCCTGGCCTTCATCAATCAACCCAACACCCAATCTTTCACCCGAAGAGCAGCAGCAGCAGGTTCCTTAGAAGCTTTTTTCTTTTTTCCTCCTGGAATGTTCCTATTACCAGATCAAAGTCATGCTCAGAAATATCTCTGCATGGGATCTCCACTAACATTTTCTCAGTGCACAGCAAGAAAGAGTGGCATTGGCCCAGTGGTCTGGGGCTCTTATCCCAGAGTGAGTGGAAGGAGGTTGTATAGGACCTGCTGTCCTTTACTTAGGGGCTTGATCCCTAAGAAGTCAAGACTGCGGCTTCCCTTAGAGCCAGGCTGGGCCTGGCTTGAGAACACTTAGTACTCTGGCTGCCATCAGGGGCAGAACGGTTCCAGATGGGACCCTGAATTCCTTGTGCTGGCACACCACCTCCTGTGCGGACCCCACCCCCCACCCCCGCCCCATTCCCCTGCTTCCATTGTGCCTGCCTGCCCAACAGAGGCTTCGCCAGGCCTCACTTGTGTGCTTAATCAGCACCAAATGGACGGCCGTTTTCCAGCCCCTTTTCTCCTGGTTCCTTCATGTCCCAATCTCTACCGCCACCCTTCCTCGGTGCCTTCTGAATGCCAGTGTTCCTTGAATTTCTGTCCCGAATGCTCCTTAAGATGCCTTCATTCCCACGTCTGTCTTTACCTGTGTGTTAGTTAGTCTGGGTTGACTAGAGAAACAAATTCATTGATACTCAGATGCGTGTAAGAGAGAGCTTTATATCCAAGAGCAATTGTATATTGAGAAAGCGTCCCAGCCCAATCCAGATCAAGTCCATAAGTCCGATATTAGCCCGTATGTCTGAGACTAGTCCATAAATTCCTCTTTAGACTCACGCAGCACATGCAATGATGCCGAAGGCAGGAAGATCACAGACTGGTGGGTGGAAAGTCTTGTGGATCCAGTGGTGGTGGAAGTAGCTCAGCGCTGGCACGGGTCTCCACATGGCTTCGCTAGCTCCAGGGCTCTGGCTGCCATCAGCATGGCTCCATGGGACTTGTCAACAGGAATGTGAAGACAGAAAGAGAGTGGCCTGCCTCTTCTGACGGCAGAATCAAAAGAGAGGATGTTCCCAGAATCCTCATGAGAAGCCCACACCCACACCCAGGAGCATCATCAGGCTTTGACCTGATTGACAGGCTAGACTCCACCCCTTCACTCTTAATATCCTCAAATTGATACGAGATTATGTAACTACCACAGACCACCCCTTGCCAACTTGACACTTTTACACAACTCTTTAGCCATACATAATTTTAAATCAAAACAATATTAAAATAATATTTGTACCTAACAGGATAAAACTAAAATGCATATAACTCAAAATGTGTCAGCCTCATTTAAACATAATATTCTAAGTGAACAAAGCAAAAATATTCTATTCTTAACAATTGCAGTTATGTGAACACCTACACTGTAATCCTATGAACATATTCCTCCACCTATGAAAGTTTGTAAGCCAGCCACTTCATGCCTTTATCCTCCAATTTTGGTTATCCAGTTTCTATACTGCCCACTTACATCAACCCAGTGCTCTGAGAAAACAAGCATGTTCTTTGAGGTGAAGAATCTTCATTCCAGTTGGAACCTTGTGAGTCTGCATCCATAAGCAAAGTCAAATCAGGATGGGCCATCTATAAAGTCAGCAGCA